ACTTTTACTAATATATATATATAATATTTTATATTAGTTTTTTTGGACATGACTTTTTCTTTTAATAACATGATTTACGTATTTAACAGAGGGTTATAATGTGGTGGGTGAATGGAAGACTTGAAGGCTGAAGACCAATGTTCAATCTAGAACCTCCTACATTACTGACATTCTATCCCTTGTGCCAGTTGGCACACTGTAAATGTCTGAATGAATAAATAAGTTACACCAACACAGATTTCTTCAGCTGTAAATTGGAGGTGATACCACCGATCATACAGAATATTTGTAAAGAACAACCAAGAGAACCAATGGGTGCCATAGTGCTTTGTTAACTTTAAGACTCTGAGCTAAAATATTTTTAAAGATCTGAGTTAGTAGGGTTTGTTATTTTATAAAAGCCTCAAATAAACTCCTTGGCTTTGATGTAGTATTTTATTTAGTTATATTTTCTGTTAACAAAGATACCATTAACAACAAATTTGTTCAGTGTTCATTTTAAAGGGAAAAATATCTTACAACTCATTAAAAAAAACAACTATGTAATTCAGGTCAACATTAGTGTCCTTTTTACTTCCTTTGGTTAAGTCATAAGAAATCTCTGTTTCAAAAGAAAAGTATCCTATATAATAAAGAACTAATATGCTAATTAGACTGAACAGCCAGACAACCTTCCAGACGTCCTTCCAAATGACCTTCTGGACGAAGCTGGGGTGGTGAGGGCTGGCCAGGGCTACACAGGCCGTCCAGGGCAGCTGGGGCTGCGAGGGCCGAGCCCCTTGCACGAATTTCGTGCATCGGGCCTCTAGTTTCATAAGAAGGTCTGAAGTTTATATTCTCATTAAATTCCAATTCAACACAATTTACCAAAGTACTTCACACATATGTCCTTTATAGCATTAATCATATTGTATAATAAATATTTTTTTTCTCTCAGGACACTGGGCAACTTAAGGGTACAAAATTGAGTCAGATTCATCTAATTTTTTTAAAGCATTTTATTTTTAAAATGTTTTTTTTTATTTGTTTTTAGAGGGAGGAGAGGGAGAGATAGACACATCGATGAGATTGATTCCTGCACCGCCATTGGGGATCAAGCCTGCAAACTGGGCATGTGCCCTGACTGGGAATCAAATTAGTGACTTTTTGGTGCAAGGAATGACACTCAACCAGCTGAGCCACACTGGGCAGGCTAGATTCATCTTTATATCAAGTTACTATAGCCTTTGGCTGGTTTTTTAAAAAATATATTTTTATTTTTATTGATTCCAGAGAGGAAGGAAGAGGGAGAGGTAGAAACATCAATGATGAGAGAGAATAATTGATCAGATGCCTCCTGCACGCCCCACAGTGGGGATCAAAACTACAAGGGCATGTGCCTTGACCGGAAATCGAACCATGACCTCCTGGTTCATAGATTGAGGTTCAACTTCTGCCAGGCTTGGCTGGTTCTTTGTAGAGGTTAGTGCCTAAGTATACATAGAATGAATGAACAGAGGATATGTGTTGTGTCCAGCAGAGGAAAAAGAGCTAGTATAATTCTGATTAGTTTATAGTATATGGTCAAAGTGATGTTTATCCATAATCTAAAAACAGAATTTTAAGTTTCTTTTTAGATTTTATTCTATGAATAAGGCTATTTTTAAGGTAGACAAATGTGTGTTAATGAAAGAATGTGATGCAGAGAGTTTGGAACATGTTATCAGGACAGTAACATGAAAATTACATAGGGAAAACACCAAAAATTTTTCACTTTAAAATTACTCAGTGGTAGTTTATTTAGTGGTCTCAAATAATAATGGAGATTGCTGAAAGGTTGTTGTATTTCATAATGGTCTATTTTTGTGATTTTTAAAATGTTATATTAAGATAGCAAGTTATTATTGTAAATGGGAATCAGTCTACATTAGTGTTTGTATTGGGGAGAGGTGGTGAACTATATGAGAATCTGTATTTGGAAAGCATAGTTTATGTTTAAATGATTATCTAACTTACTTTGAGGTATAAAGTAGATATGGTCAATAAATGTTTGCTTATGATTATTGACTAGGTCAGGGGTCCTCAAACTTTTTAAACAGGGGGCCAGTTCACTGTCCCTCAGATTGCTGGATGGCTGGACTATAGTTTAAAAAAAAACTATGAACAAATTCCTATGCACACTGCACATATCTTATTTTGAAGTAAAAAAACAAAACGGGAACAAATACAATATTTGTATTTGCATGTGGCCCGCGGGCCATAGTTTGAGGACCCCTGGACTAGGTATTGGTAAAATATAATTTGAAGCCATATTAGAAAAAACCAACAAAATGGAGCTAAATCTAATATTTATGATAAAATGACTAACAAGGTTTACAATACAGGGTGGAGCAAAAGTAGGTTTATAGTTGTTCATATGGAAAATAATACAATAAATAAGAACAAACTCTGCTTCATGTACTCACAACTGTGAACCTACTTTTGCCCCACCCTGTATACACAAAAGGATTTTCATAAATATTTGTTGTAAGTGCCTTACAATTAAAACAGACTTTCCTACCCTTGCCTTTGTGAAATCTAGTTGCTTGGGAGGCATTCCTTATTAAAAGAGGGTGTCAATAATATAAAAAGACTGTTGCTAGGATCCAAGCAAAACAGCAGTTTAAGCTCTGGCCGGGTAGTTCAGTTGGTTCGAGTGTCGTCCCGATACACCGAGGTTGCCGGTTCAATCCCTGGTCAGAGCACATATAGGAATCAACCAATGAATGCATAAGTAAGTGAAACAACAAATCGATGGCTCTCTCTCTCACACCCATCAATAAAATAAAAAGAACAACAACCCAGCAATCTAAACAGTTGGGGGGCGGGGGAAGTATTTGTTTTTTGTTTTTTTTCAATCATCAAGTAGCATTTACTTTATAGGAAAGATTTATAGCAATTTACGATTAGGTGTATGTTACTTTTAGATGGTGGTGTCAGAAAGCTTGAATCAGGATTAAATAACTTCATGATACATCATGATACATTAGTAAATTTTTGCTGGATTTGATCAAAACTATTAGAAGGAAAGTGTTCTTATTAAACATTTATCTGGTGAAGTAAGGCAAACTCTTTTTTAATTGTTCAAGTGGTGACTATAAGAATAGTTCTGATATTCTATTTTGTAAAATAATTAGCACTTGCATAGCTTTATTCACAGACACGTGTTTTTGTAGAGGAGTGCATTTTATTTCCCTTATGCAGTATGGTTGTTCTATTCTACCCTTACTAAGAAAGGAAATAAAAAGCAAGCTGATGTGTAAGAAAAACGGATTCCATTTTAAGTTGTAAGTTGTAAAGATATAATATAGTAAGTACTGTTTTATGATTAAATTCTACTGTAAGTTTATGGGGGGAAGGAAAAGCTTAAAAGTTTTGGTATCAACATACATGAAGGCAGAGGGAGTTTTCAAACAGAACTGGTAGCGTATTTGCTTACTAATGCATCAATTTTGAAATTAAAACTTTTTTTTATTTTTTTAGTAAAAGAGTAGTATACAGTTATCTTTCTGTTAAAGGTAAAAGTTAGATCCTGCTCTCTGCATTATTTCACAACATATTTTCTTAGAAGGTTAATATAACCAGCTACCAGTTTTTACTAGTCTGAGGTACTTGAGTCCTTACTAGCTTGAATGACTCAAGGGTACTTCATATTTAAAATATTTTCAAAATATTTTACAATCCATTTTAAAAGATAATATTCTTATGAGGGAGATTATGATTAGCTCACTTTTACTGTTAAAAAGATATAGAAAGTTTAAATAAAAGAACTTGCCCTGTACCTTAGGCTTTTTTTCTGTAAAGTTTCCAAATCACAGTGTCAGTAATAATTTAATACAAACCCCAGCAGTTTTAAAGTCATATTTAATATGGGTTAACTCCTACTTACCTTACTTAGAATGTAATGTCTCAACTTTGGTACACAAAAACATTTTTTCCTAATATAAATTAAACATATTACTTGTAATAGACTGTTCTTCAAAAGTTGTTTAAAAAGGCAAAAACACATCTTGCAAAACTTCCTAGCAAATTTTTAATGTATGCAATTCGCATGTAAGGCACTTCCATGCTTTTTCAAATAAGCTTCATAAAGTTTTCTATTTTTGTAATCAAGTCTTCATAAGTTATACAGTAAGAACGTTACTTCAAGTAAAACTTTATTTAATACCCAATTTTGGCATTATTTCCTTAAATATCTTTACCTTTGAATAGAATAAATGATGGGCATCAAGATCGATGCAAGCTAATCTTTTTTTTTCTTTTTGTGTGCAGGCTAATCTTAAATAAAAGCACTCTTGATCTGGTTTATATTTAGAGAATTGGTAATGTTTTATCTTGTTGGTCTTGTTCAAGAATCTTGAAATCCTCCAAAGGAAGACTGCTTAAGGCAGTTGGTAAAATGTGTTCAGATGTGCCTTTAGGTAATATGTTATTTGCTTCTAGATTCTTCACCAAGCAAGTGGCTTTGATCCATCTTCGAGTTGCTCTGCGTTCTTTTTGTAGGCAAGTTTTCATTTTCCTTCTTAAACTTGCTATTTCTTTTTCCAGTTTAATTATCCTCTTTTTTGCCTCCATAGGATTCCTAAAGGCATAACTGTGTTCAAGTAGCACTTGTTGACTATTAATGTTTGATTTTAAATTAGAAGGTCCGGTTGGAGTACAACTGTTACTTTTCTTCAGAAGATTCTGTGACTTGAGTTTCTGTGCCAAATAATATTAGAGGGTTGTACATAAGTTATGCAATATCACAAATAAATTTTGTCCAGTTTAAATAACAGTATTTAAATTGCTCTTTTAAAAACTGATTTTTAAAAGATAGCAAACATCACCAACCCATCTCATGTAATCATAGATTCAAGTTTCTCAAGTGGTTGAATTAACTCCAGCCACCTATTTCTTTTTGTTTTCCCTCTACAGAGAGATACTAACATTGGTTTGGAAATAGACACTGGACTTCCAAGGTCCTTCCAAATTATGATTTTATGGAGACTTTAAATATCTTTTGTAATTGTCTAAGGCCAAACAATGTAGACATTTATGTGATACTGATTTGATCTCTTTTGTAGGTAAATATTATTTGCTCAATTAATATTTCAGACCTTGGATACTACTTAATAAAAATATATTCCCAAGTATCAAGCCCCTGAATAGATTTAGTACTTATTAATTGTTCAGTTATAGCTTCCACTCAAGGACTTAAAATGCGGGCAGAAATTTTTGCCCAAATCAGAAACCTGAGGAACCTTTTTCCTTTATTACTTTCATTCAATTAGTCAAGTCGTATTAATTCTACATCCTATATATCTCTATCATGAATCATCTCCTCTAGCACTCTTTTAAAAATTATTATTAAATCTATTGGGGTGACATTGGTTAATATGATCATATAGGTTTCAGATGTGGGATTCTATGTTACAAGATCTGTATATTGCACTGTGCCCACCACCCAAAGTCAAATCTTCACCCTTTACCATATATTCAGTCCCCTTCACCCCACCCGCCTCTTCTAGCATTCTTAATGCTACTCCCATCAGGACTATATTATATCTAGCTTGAATATGTCATTACCTACCATAGACTTTATATGGGTACAAAAATCAAAAATGGTTGGAACAGCATCCATTTTAAGTCGTCGAGTTTGTCCTGTTAGGTCAAAACAGGAGGCTTCAAAGTGCTTTGAACAAAGAAAAGTGTGTTTTCCTGGCACAAAATTTTTGCGCCTAACCAGGCGAACCCATTCTTTTCTTCTTTTAGGATCCAAAGGAAACCTTAGAAAAACAAAAACCAAAAAAAACCCTCAAATTCCAACTATCACAGTTCTGGTTGCACCTAAATGGTTAAAACAAATTTTAAGTGGTGATGATTTAAAGTTTCTTCAGCCCAGTTGGTGTGGCTCAGTGGTTGAGTACTGACCCACGAACTAAGAGGTCCCCGGTTTGATTCCTGGTCAGGGCACATGCCCACGTTGAGGGCTCGATCCCCAGTAGGGGATGAGCAGGAGGCAGTTGATTGTTTCTTTCTCACTGATGTTTCCATCTCTATTTCCCTCTCCCTAAAACCAATAAAAACATATTTTAAAGTGTCTTTAATTACATACAAAATGTTACATTTCCAGTATCCAGACAATGTCACAGAAACCAATTCATGCTAATTTTTATAAGTTGTAAAAAAAATTAATAAAAAATGGACTTGAGTGGTCTTATTTTTCAGGGTTTTAAAAAGAGATCTTTCTTCCTACTCCAGTCCTTAACCTGGGCAGTAAAAATAAACAAGACTACAGTAATCTAGGCCCTGGCTGGGTAGTTCTCTGTTGGTTAGAGCATCGTCCCAATACACCAAGGTTGCTGGTTCCATCTCCAGTCAGGGCACAAGAATCAACCAATGAATGCATAAACAAGTGGAACAACAGATCAATCTACCCCCACCCCCCTTTTCCTCTCTCTGTAAAAAAATAAAATAAAAAAAATATGACTAAACTAGATCAAGCTTAAGTAGAGCCGTATAAGCAGGAGTAACTTTACATTGCACAGATCTGCTGCTGATATTAGTACATGGTCAAGATAAATCAAATTAATGCCCAGGTTGCAGGCTCGATCCCTAGTAGGGGGTGTGCAAGAGGCAGCTGATCAATGATTCCCTCTCATCATTGATGTTTCTATCCCTCTCTTCCCCTTCCTCTCTGAAATCAATAAACATATATTTAAAAAAAGATAAATCAAATTATCTACAGATTAAATTTTATCAAGAAAAGCCTAAATAGATTCTCGTATTCCTCTGTGTTCCTTCATTGTGACACTTACCATACTGTTTTTGTTTGAAATAAAAGATTATAAGTTTCTTGAGGACAGGAATCACTGTATCTTTTTATCTCTATCTTTTTTGTTTATTTTGTTAATCCTCACCCAAGGGTATTTTTTCCATTGATTTTTAAAGTGTTTTTTTTTAAAATATATTTTATTGATTTTTTACAGAGAGGAAGGGAGAGAGATAGAGAGTTAGAAACATGGATGAGAGAGAAACATCGATCAGCGGCCTCCTGCACATCTCCTACTGGGGATGTGCCCACAACCCAGGTACATGCCCTTGACCGGAATCGAACCTGGGACCTTTCAGTCCGCAGGCCGACGCTCTATCCACTGAGCCAAACCGGTTTCAGCTAAAGTGTTTTTATTGACTTTAGAGACAGGGAAAGGGAGAGTTAGAAACATTAATGATGAGAATCATCGATTGCTTGCCTCCTGCACGCCCTCCTACTGGGAATAGAGCCCACACCTGGGCATGTGCCCTGACCAGGATTCAAATCCTGACCTCCAGGTTCATGGATTGATGCTCAACCACTGAGCCACACCAGCTGGGCCCATTGAGAGAGAATGGAAGGGAGGAAAGAGAATGGAGGAGAGAAAGAGAGAGAGAAACATCCACGTGAGACACATTGATTGGTTGCCTCCAGAATGCACTCTGACCGGGGCCAGGGATCAAACCTGCAACTCAGGTATGTGCCCTTGACTGGGAATCCAACCAGAGACCCTTTGGTGCTCAGGACCCCCAGGGCCTATCCTCTACTCACTAAGCAAGGCTGGCTAGGGCTTCTCTCTTTAACATGTAGTACAGTTGCCTTGAATAAGGACTTAACAAAAATTTGCTTAATTAAAATGAGACAGAGTATGTAAATTAAGAATGCACTGTATTACTTCCACGTAAACAGCCTATATTTTTTTTTAAAAAAATGAACTCTTAAGCTACGTAATACAGTAGAAATCATAATTATTACAAAAAGTAAAATGCTGCTGACAAGCCCAGCAGTAATGTTTTTCCTTTCATATTTATTTCAAATATAAAATATAGTAATATACTAATGTGTACCCAGTTAAGAGAAAAATATAAGGGACTGTCAAAATTAGTGGTAACTGTGTTGACTGATTGGAAACATAACAATCAACATTCACATGTAACAACTTTGAGTTCAACTCTTCTTTAATATATTTGATTACCTAATGAACTGAGTAGTGTTTAAAAAGAATCATTCATGTTAGAAGATCATGTGGCTCCCCAACTGAAGCTTCACTAGGTAACAGCTTTGGCTATTATCAGATATCCAGTTTGCTTAAATGACCAGCAATGAGGGGCACAAAGAGATGAAAGCCCAGATTTACTGGTAAATATCTTCCAGTCTCTTGTCCCTGTCCCCTCAACTCCAAACATATCCCGACCTGATGATATTATTAGCATTTGTTTGTCACTCTGTAGTTCACATTTTCACAAATTTAAGTTTTTTTCTATTTAATTAGAAACCCCTGATTATTTATCTACTGTTTATCCCTCACCTTTTAATAAAATGTATTCTCATTTCAAAGATCTGTTCCAATATTTAATGGTTTGGAAATATTTCCTGTGCCCTAAGCTAAAAAAATCAAGCTTTGGTTTATAAACACTAACCTTATGAATTTCTTCTTGTTGGGGGCCTCGATAAAGATGCAGAACTTATAAACTAAGTACTATTATTGGATTATCATTTGTATAAGACTCTTCAGAAATATGAAGGCTGTCTTTCAGATATTTAATCCTTTTTTTCTTTAGTTTTTTATAACGAGCTCCCTAATTATGCAATCAGTACCTCCAACTGAACCTTAACTAAATTTTATTTCCTTCTCTTAAGACTCAATTTATGAATCTCATCTTCCTAAAGAAGTTTTTCATGATCAGAAGATAAGGTTAGATGTTTCTATATGATAAAGAATTAACACCACTGTATTCTAATTGCTTGCTTTTCTATCTCCACCACTTTATCATGTTTTTCCTGGTTAGAACTGTTCTTTACTACTTTATCATATTAAGTAAGCACTCAGTGAGCTTTTCTGAGTGAATCAATGAAAAATGCACTAATGGGGCTAGCTTAGCATTACTAAATAATCTTTAGTTATCTGTGTTTAAATAGAATAATAATAAACAATTTTACTTATTTTTTATATATGTATTTTATTGATTTCAGAGAGGAAGGGAGAGGGAAAGATAGAAACATCAATGATGAGAGAGAATCATTGCTTCCTGAACACCTCACACTGGGGTTGAGCCTGCGACTTGGGCATGTGCCCTGACTGGGAATTTAATTGTGACCTCCTGTTTCATAGGTCGACACTCAACCACTGAGTCATGCTGGCTGGGCTAATCAACAATTTTATATTTAATTTTTCCATTATCATATTTTGCATGTGTTGTTTGGATTTTTCTTAATATGTTCAAAGGGGGGTTGAGATAGCCTATAGTTGAATTTATAATAAATCGTCCTCTAAGTATTTAAAAAATAACAGGGTGGCAGATGGATATATGTTTGTCTACACCATAATAAAAGTAGGCTTTCAGAAACATTAGATGTTTGGAAAAAATCACTCAGTATTTTAAGCAATGCTATTTGGCTTGGGTCTTTAATAAATGGCTGAATGCTCATATATTCCAAGCACTGCCCTAGGAACTGTCCCAAGTGGTAAATAAAACTGACCTACTTTTACGGTATCTATCTTCTACTAAGGGCACACTGTAATGGGGAGGACAGAGAATTGAACAACTTGATGCAACAGAAAAGAATGGCTGAGAACTGTTGTCTCTCAAGTCAAATCAGGGTGTCAAGCCTGGTTACTTTACATAACAGCTAGGTAACTTTAGGCAAGTTATGCAACCTTTTTAGTCTTTAGTTTTTATCACCTATAAGGTACCATTTTAATGGTATCTAGTGTGGTTTTAGGGGTTAAATGAGACAGTTTATGGTAAATACTAGATAAATATTATTTGTTACTATAAAAGTAATCACAAATGTCATGGGTGTTCAGGAGGCTTTAGGATAGTAGGAATTAGCTAGAGGAATTAGGGTGGGAACAGTGAAGAGTAATGACATGAAATGATGCAAGAGAACTTTCTAAGTTAAAGAGTAATTTTGAACTTTATCCAAAATGGCATTGGCAAGCCATTATAAGTCACGATTTAGAGCTGATTTTTAAAAACATGTTTTTACTGATTTCAGAAGGAGAGAGGGAGAGGGAGAACATCAGTGAGAGAGAACCACCAATTGGCTATCTCCTGCATGTCCCCTACTGGGAACGGAGGCACGTGCTCCCACCAGGAATTGAACCTGCGACCTCCCAGTGCATGGGACGATGCTCAGTCGGCTGAGCCACACCAGCTGGGGGCATTATCTTATTCTTAAAACTATATATGTCTGTTATATCTATATGGTATAAAGGCTATATAGAATAGTGTGGTACTGCACATTCCTTCCCAACTTTATGATTAGTGATGTCAGGTTGGTAGTTAGAAACCAGATAATGTAGGTTGTATTTATATTACAGAATTAGGGCAAATACTATGAATCAGGGCTTTCCTCTTCCTTGGAGATTCTGTTATTAAACATTTAGCAACACATCACTGATTTACAGAAGTTAGGAGTACATGAATGGAAGCAGTGAACCAGTTAAGAGGCTGTTGTAATCGAGTCAAAAGGGAATGGTAGGAAGGTAAGGAAGGATGACCTTCCGATTTCTGGGTAGATGATGTTTTCATTTACTGAGAAAAGGCATGTGGGAATAGGAGTAGGTTTGAGGGAAGGGCAAATTCTTTAGTACAGTTTTGATATAAATCTGAGGAACTGGAGAGGCCAGGGGAATACTGAGACACTTGGCCTATAGATCCAGAATTCAATGTGATTTGGACTGGAGATAATTTGAGAAGCATCAACATGTAAATGTTAACTGAGACCACAGCAACAGTTGAAATTTTTTTACAAAGAGAGGGTCTGGTAGGAGAGATAGACTACAGAAGTGAAAACCACAAAATTAGTGTCAAATAATTCAAAAGTAGAGAGTATTTCAAGGAGGAAATGATCACATTCCAAGAAAAAGAAATACAGGAGTGACAACTCATGTTAGCAAGAGCAGTTTCAGAAAATTATTCGTGAGACCTAGTCCAGAGTGGGCTAAGACATAAGAAAAATGAAGATAGTTAAGTTCAGGCAACATAAGTTGTATATGGGAATAAAGAAGTCTACCAATGTCTTAGGAGAGGAGTTAGTTCATATTGTTTGTTTATAAAGTAGAAATGTATTTTTACTTTTGTTATTTTATGACCTACATTTTTGGGTTACACATGAAAATGTTAATTTCATAAGCAAATAGTCAAACATGGAAAGGAAGTATGCATGCTACTGTATCACTGTGTATCTCTTAAACATTCAATATTATTGGTCCTAGACTCTTCCCTCTTTCTCTTCTTCCAAAACAAATACAATAGTTTCTCCTCAAATATTTCTCAAATCTGTCCACTTTTTTCCATCCTTACTGTCACTGCTACTCTAGTCTAGGCCTCTGGGTGGACTCTCCCTTATTTTAAGGCAGGCTCCTGTTTTTTCTCTATCAGCTCTCACCTCTCCTATTCTAGTGCTGGTTGTGCCAGCAAAGAAGTACACCGTGTAGTTCAGTTGACACTGTAGTGTAGATTTCCTTGTGAAAGAAACAGTGGGTAAGTGAATATTCTTTAAACAAGCTTCTTTCTCACTGAATTTCTCTCTCGATGATGCTCAACCAGCACTTTCAGTAACACTATTCTCCGTATTTCAGCCAGAGGACTTTTTAATATGCACATTTAATCATGCCACTCTTTTAAAACGTTCCCTGGCTTCTCAAGTACTAATGGATAAAACAGAAAATCCTTAAAGGGGCACACCAGACTATGTCACCATTTGGTCTCATTTGAAATTTCACATCCTTTGAGAAGTGTTACTTTGACTTTACAAGGTAACTTAGTTCTCCCTGAATGTCTTTTCTGTGGCACCTAAACTGCAATTATATTTGTCTTTTCTTTTTTATTATACTCTAAACTTCAAGAATATAAGAATTTTCTGGATCTCTCGCATGATGCCAGGCAAATAAGAAGTTGGTACACATTTGATAGATGAACAAAACAGTACATTTGATGAAGTAGTTGAAAACAGAAACATCACAAAGATTTTTTTTTAAAGTGGCAACTTTTAATAAGGGGGTACATTTAGTCATCATGAGGTAGGGAAAAGGTCAAGAATATAATTTTCTACATCCTATGAATGTATTAAGTTGTGAGGTATATAAAATCAGAACTGTTTACACTTAACTTTTTTAATGCTTTTCTTCAGTCACATGGCAGGCACTTGCAGAGAAGGTAAACATTTATTTACTGTATTTCATGTAGTGTTCAAAGTGCTTTCAAGAGTTTTGATTTGAGAGAACTAAAGAATTTTCATTGGCCCTACCTGGTTTGGCTCAGTGGATAGAGCGTCAGCCTGTGGACTGAAGGGTCCTGGGTTCGATTCTGGTCAAGGGCACAGGCTTGATCCACAGTAGGGGGTGTGCAGGAGGCAGCCGATCAATGTTCTCTCTCATCGTTGATGTTGATGTTTCTCTCTCTCTCTCTCTGAAATCAATAAAAATACATTAAAAAAAAAAAAGAACTTTCATTGCTCTTCCAGCAAAGAAGGAAGAACACCTAGGTTCTTTTTATTACTGCTAGTTAGAAAGCATATCTTTTGCACTTTCATTAATATAGCTTAATTCCATGATTATCATCAATGATGACTCAACTCCTCTGCAGAGTTACTGTATGGGACTATCAGAAAAAATCCAAATGCTTCTCATGTCAATTCAGCTAGCTGATTTTAATGGGAACACAGTAGGCTTTAAGGCAGTGGTTCTCAACCTTCCTAATGCCGCGACCCTTTAGTACAGTTCCTCATGTTGTGGCGCCCCCCAGCCATAAAATTATTTTCGTTGCTACTTCATAACTGTAATTTTGCTACTGTTATGAATCGTCATGTAAATATCTGATACGCAGGATGTGTTTTCATTGTTACAAACTGAACATACTTAAAGCATAGTGATTAATCACAAAAACAATATGTAATTACATATGTGTTTTCCGATGGTCTTAGGTGACCCTGTAAAAGGGTCGTTCGACCCCCAAAGGGGTCGCGACCCACAGGTTGAGAACCTCTGGTTTAAGGTGATTGCCGGCTTGAACAGGAAGATTTCTTACGGAGTCATTAATGTCAAGTCCAGTCTAATACACAGGAGTAAAAGAGTAGAAAATGAAGGTATCCGGCTGTCACTTTTATAAGGAGTAATCACCATACAGAACTTGGATTTCTTTTATAAAGCAAGTACATCTTCCCCAAGGGGAGAAATACTGGGCAGATCTGAGCAATACACAAAGGGAAAACACAATGCTTCCCTGCTACCCCCTAGGACTAGGTAGTGAAGGGATCAGAATTCGCAGAATCCTCGTGTTCCTTCGACACAAGCAATAGTTAATCTAACGGCTCTCACCCCCGCTCCCCGCCCAGGTTACCTGTGGAAGCTGATGTTAATGTGCTTGTTGTAGGTAGTGGCACAGCCCGCCGCGGCGCAATTGGTCGGCATGTCCCTTCCCCCCTCATTCGGCGCCGTCGTGAGCCTGTCCTGAGGCGCTGACGGCTACGCCGGGCCAGCGAGGCAGGGGACAGATCCGCAGAGCAGAGTCGTGGGGCGGGGTGGGCAGCAGGGGTGCGGATGTGTGTGCGTCGGAGGTAGGGATCCACCTTCCCTCTTTATGAATATGGCCGACTTGAGCCCACAGAGCCGTCAGTCCCGCAGCGCCAGTCGCCTTCCTTTGCCTTCACCAACATGGCGGACACAACCCGGTCCCCTCCCTGGCCCCCAAAGGGGAGAGGGACTACTGCGTCTCTTTAGGACCTGTCCTTGGAGAAAAAAAGAAAAAAAGAAAAGAAAAGGGGTACCATCCACCTCCCCGCCCCCTACTTCTATGATACACTCTCCAGGCCGAGATTAAGAACAGACCCGCCCATTCCAACACGCATCCAGATATCCCAATCCAGTACGAGGTGGGTGTGAGTTGTAGACTAGGACAGCCCCTAAAACAGGAAAGGAAAAACTACAAGTCCCACTGAGAATCGCGTGGTCTTCATCGTTATCGCGGGAACTGGAAGCCTGGTTTCCGGTCTTCCGTCGGAAGTGACGTCGTGGGCCACTTTCGAGCCCCTTTCTCGCGAGGCGGAAGAGCTCCATTCGCGGAGGAGCAAGGGGGCGCTAGGGTAGGGAACTGGGTTGTGACGGTCCGGCGAGAGAGAGGGCTGGGGTGCCGGGAAGTTGGGGAGCACAGCCCGCTAGGTGTTCGATAGGGTAAGGCCGCACCGACCGGGTCCGTTAGGAAAGAAGGGGCCGAGAAGTAAGGTAATTGTCGGGCGGTTCCCCGGACTGAGGACTCCGGTTGTGTGGAAGGCGCTGCTCCCGGGATGGCGACGGCAGATCCTCCGGCCGCAGCGTCCAGTGGCCTGTCGCCCAAGGAAGAAGGGGAGCTAGAAGATGGGGAGATCAGCGACGACGATAACAGCCAGGTACGGAGCCGGAGCAGCAGCAGTAGCAGTGGCTGCGGGCTGTTGCCTTATCCGCGGCGGAGGCCTCCTCACCCGGCCCGGGGCGGTGGATCCGGCGGAGGCGGTGGCTCCTCGTCGTCATCGTCCTCTTCGCAGCAGCAGCTGCAGCTGAGGAATTTCTCACGCTCGCGGCACGCGTCGGAGCGGGGCCACCTCCGGGGACACAGCAGCTACCGACCCAAAGAGCCGTTCCGCTCTCACCAGCCCTCCGTGCGGATGCCTTCGAGCTCGCTGTCCGAGAGCAGCCCTCGGCCGTCCTTCTGGGAACGGAGCCACATCGCTTTGGACCGTTTCCGCTTTCGAGGCCGGCCTTATCGGGGTGGGAGTCGCTGGAGTCGGGGTCGTGGCGGGGGTGACCGAGGAGGCAAGCCGGGGGGCAGACCCCCGCTGGGTGGAGGACCGGGGTCCGGATTCAACGGCAGCCAGAGCTGGCGGGAGCCCTCTCCACCTCGCAAGAGTTGTATCCTTAACGTGGCGCTCGGCCCTGGGTGTGTCACTAGAGTTTCCCTTTAGCGTCCTTCCTAGGTCTGCGGGATGAGTAACTTCTCTGCGCCGCCGGAGCCGCTCGTTTGTTACTTACGGTAAGTTCGTTGGCAGTCCCCATGTGTCACGCTGTAGGGTTTCTCGGGATTCCTTTATTGGGTATATTGCCTTTTAACAGGACCGAGTCATTGTTTGGGGCCAAGCTAGTGGAATCTAACAGTCTAAGGTCAGGTTTGTAACCGGACCTCAGAAGTCCACGTTTTATTAGCATTTGTCTTCGCTGGTACAGAAACTTTAATACGTGAGGTTAACTTGGACTGTTAAAGGGAGAGGAAAATTACATATAGACAAACGATTTGGGGAATAGTGGGTTTTTGTTTTT